AATAGTCATTAGATTAATCAATTATCAGTATAATCCTTTGTTGCAGCCCTGGAAAACATGATCTACGTTGTGACTATGGGGTGCGCAATATTGACCAAAAATGATATTTTCTGGGAATTTGCTGATAACAATAGTAATATTTTGTTGTGTGTTTTTGTGGTGGTACCATGGCTAGTTTATTTTTGGCATATTCTTCTTATTCTGTTTTGAAGGTGGTTAAGTCACAGCAGACTGAAATGAACTTTTTCCTACTATAAGAGAGTAGGGCTTGACGATGAACCATATCATATCGAGAGCACAGTAAAATTAATATTGAAAACGATGATATGCTCTGGGCATACCAGAGCTCTATGGATTAATTTTACAGGTTTAACTTGAAGAAATTATGACATAAATATTATTGTTGTATACTAAAATGTAGGCCTAGTTCTTTAAGAAATAGGTAATAATATAATTATTTTTAAGGAATATCATGCAACCAAGATATTTTTTGATCCATGTTTTAATTTATGCATTCTTATTTGACAAAAAAAATTAAATGCAGTGATTTGTTGTAAATTAGTTGTTATATTTTCATTTGATTACATTTTAAAAGATGGATTAAATTAATCAATTGATTAATTATTACCTTTGGTCATATTGCCTAGCCCTACGAGGCAATATTTGCCCTTGTCACTTGTGTTGTTATTATTTTATATACACACTTCAGAAATTGAGACCCTTGAATTGCAAAATCTCTTCATATTCACCATACCTCACATACCTGCATCTTTCTTATCTTTGTCTTACGTTTGTAAGACAAAAAAACTGATGCAGCAGTTAAAAGAATTGGTAAATGTTCCTCCATGCTGTATTTATTTTGGGACCTGAATTGTTTGTTTTGTTTTTTTTCCTTGACGCTTATAAGATTATGGTGACATTCTGAGATATGGGATGACATGGAAATGATGTTGTAGTCTTAAAATAGGTTTGCATACTTATAATAAAGCTTGGTTAAAGCATGAAATAGAGTCGTTCAGACAGCCCATAACTGGCAGTGTGAGCTGCTATTATTTGTCTGCAGTGAAAATGTGTATGCGTGACACTCAAGTGTTTTTGCATCTGTCCTGTGTTCACCCTCACCACCCCCCAAAACATCTCACGTTCTAGATTCACAGCATGCCTTCCATATGAACCGCTTCTCCCTGTGAGTTTTGATGGGGCTAAATGCATGCCGGACATCTGTAACTTCCACTGACTATTTCAGGCCTTGCTAGAGTAACATCGAAGCTTGTTATTTTTTCCTCATCTAGTCACAGCAAGGATTATAAATAGATCTGTCCTTATGAATCACATGGCATTGTTTTCAAATGTCAACAGAGTGGGATGAGCACAAACTCTAAAGATGAGTGTTATAAGTGTTTCAGAAGTTTTAGGGCTTGCAAAATCATATCACCTCTTCAACTAGCCTTCAATCACAGCTATTGCTAGCAAACAAAAAGCTTTTCAGAAGGAAACATATATAACGCTTATAACAATTCTACAGTTTGCACAAAGCATTCATCTTCTTAAGCAGTAAGAGTGGGCCTTGTTTTATAGAATAAATGTGTGTGCATTATTAATTTAGTCAGATTGTATTTAATTATAACTTGCTGTATAATTGTGATCATCAATGCTGAAATTCAGGTAATGTTTTAAAACTAAATATTTTTTTGCTAATGTAATTAGTAGGGGTGTGCCATATCATACCGTCCACGATAATACGGGTATACATTTTATGATAAAAAAGTGTCATATCGTGATATCAATGATATAGCAACGTGATGACATATGGCGGATATACGTTCCCTAGCGCGCACAACAACAACACCACAAACCCAATAGGTGTGTTCGACTTGAAGCAGCGCTGCGCAGACGTCCGCACAGCTTTCAAAGTATACTCAACCGTGGATGAGCGCGGACGAACGAGCTCCACACATATGCGCAGTACCACCTACTCTTGTCTCAACATTCACCTCGCGCATGCACTGTTGTACGCGCACGGTCCGCGCTGTCTCAAAAAATTGCCTGCGCAATTGGACGGGGTGCGCAGCTCTCTGCGAGCCCTCCTGATGACGTATTGCGGACGGTGCGCGGACGGCCGAAGTACTTTGGCCTTAATGCACCACAAAGGATGGAAAATGCTCTTCATTTTGTTTGCACTAATAAATGCTGCTGCCTGCCAGCTGCAATCACCAATAAAACGTTGTTTCATGTTTTTTTTCTATATCGTCATAAATATCGTTATCGCAAATATGCTTGAAATATCGTGATATAGTTTTAAGGCTATATCGTCCACCCCTAGTAATTAGGGCCCTGTGTTTTATTTTTTCCCAGTTTCCATTTTATGTTTTTCTCAAATTCTGTTTTAATGGTTTAATTAAATTAATCTTTTTCAGCAATTTATTCAAATTTTATAATCATTAAAATTTTACAATGAAATAGTTTATTTTTACAATAATTGAACCCTATGAACTTATTTTTTCATAATTTCTATATTGTCTCTTAATTTTTCTGGATTTAGAATTTAATACAAATTTATTATCATGGTGGTACTCAAATTAAGACATAAAGCATGTAAATAATGCAATGTAATTAATATTTTACAATGTAGTGAAATTACAATTTTAAATTAAACATGGAATAAAATGTGTGATACTCCTTAAAAATGGAGTTTTAATGTGTTTATTATTATATATAGAAGTGCAATGGTATATATTTCTGTTATCATTTCTTCAAGTTAAACCAGACCTTCATTTTGGTGGGTTGTAGTGAAGACCATTGAGTTTCTGTGTATCTGACAATAGTTTAATCAAATGAAATGATGAAATGCTGGTGAAGTGACTCTCCGAGCAGCTCTGGAGATATATAGTGAGATATAGTGAGACAGAAGACACTGAAAACATCACAAACATCAGGCATACTTGAGTATGTGTAGTAGATGAAAAATGTGCCGCTCATTCACTGAGAAATGCAGAACATGCAGACTTTAAATTTTAATAGCAGTCTTTTTACTTTTGAGTTATGCATTCAAAATTCTGTGACATTCCGCATTATACAGTAAATTCAATTTTTATGACTGGGTTCCGTGATTCTGTCCACGTTTTCTCCATTGCATAGATTAGCTTTCAGTTAATCAGAGAGATATATCTGATTTAAAATGATCCACTCTATTCTTCCTAATACCTCATTCATGATATCCTTCCATAGGTTTTATTCCCTGTTGGGCTGGTCTTTAATTGTTAATAAGTACTTGTCCATCAATCTTTTTTTTTCAGCATTATCATATTCTAACATTGTATCTTCTGCCATGGCAGCCTAATATCTGTCTGTGCACGGTGTTATGTGTTAACAAACTGTAATTTGTCTTACCTGACAACACTGTAGCACCTGACCAATTAATACTAGCACTTACCTATTCTATTCTGTTCTATTCTATTTGTTTTGGTCTAATTTATTTATTTTTTTAAACTTGCAATGTGTACTGTGTTAGACTAACTGAGATTTGTCACAGCACTTGTATACTGTTGCTCTCTTGTTGCTGTGATTGCTTCTATTGTTCTCCTCATTTGTAAGTCGCTTTGGATAAGAGCGTCTGCTAAATGACTAAATGTAAATGTAAAGGAAAATGTAAATGATTTATAAATATATCCTTTTAAACATTTATAAATTAAATATGTAATTTTTGGCTTACTTAACGCCCTGTCTCTAGTCTTTGTGGGTGTCACAGATCAGTTGCTTCTGCCTAAAGGATACGTCTTTAAAAGCAGCCAGAATATAGAAAAACGTATAACCTAATTATGCGTAATATGAAAGGCCGGGCTGAGCAGATGCCTGAAAGAAACTCCAGAGCCTGCAGATCAGCCCGGGTGTGCAGCACAAGTCTTCTCAAGGCTGCTGATGTGGATCTGTAAAGCCTATTAAACAGAGCTCTTCCTGAATTAGCTCATTAGCATCATCACAGTCTTCATTCATGAGCTCGCGTTGCTGGGCTGACATCACTGAGGACGCATCACGGAACTAAAAATGAGCTTCAGCACAAAGGCATGATAGGATTATTCAGCCCTTCCCACTAGCTGCTATTCTGTCCTTCCCACACATGTGCATCTGTCTGAGCTTCTTTGTTCATCATACCACATATACAGGTGCATCTCAATAAATTAGAATGTCGTGGAATAGTTCATTTATTTCAGTAATTCAACTCAAATTGTGAAACTCGTGTATTAAATAAATTCAATGCACACAGACTGAAGTAGTTTAAGTCTTTGGTTCTTTTAACAATTCACTAAAAATGTTTTTTTTATTGGTCTTATGAAGGATTCTAATTTGTTGAGATAGTGAATTGGTGGGTTTTTGTTAAATGTGAGCCAAAATCATCACAATTAAAAGAACCAAAGACTTAAACTACTTCAGTCTGTGTGCACTGAATTTATTTAATACACTAGTTTCACAATTTGAGTTGAATTACTGAAATAAATTAACTTTAGCACGACATTCTAATTTATTGAGATGCACCTGTACTGTTCAAATGTTTGATCTTCTTCATTATATTAGTGTTCTGAAGTTATATTCCATGCACAATCTTCACTATACATTTTGACTTTCTCTTTACCCAAACTAGTGTTGTCATAAGTTCAGGTACCAATGTGTCAAAGCATGGGCCTGAAGTTGAAACTTGAATTTGGATTGGCACGGAATAATGATTGGACTTGGCAGAATGTACATAATGGAATTTAAACACTCAAAAGAGGAGTGCTAAAATAATATTTACTATTCAGTTTTTGGTAATGAATTATCATCAGTAATTGTGTGTTGATTTGTCATAAAATTGCATGACTGTGACTTTGGACTTTAAAAACAACTGCCAATTTAAAGGGCTTGAATGCACAAGAAGTAAAAAATGACACATTGTTATTAATGTAGAATCACTACATACACAAAAACTTAGCATATACAAGTTCTAAGTAGTGTTGATGTTGCAGGTGTGGTGCTGGTGTGTTTTGAGGGTGACTCTGATGGCTACATCAATCTGGTGGCATATCCATATGAAGAGAGCGAGGGGCTGGACCATGAAGAGCTGTCCGAAAGAGATCAGCCTCGCCGAAAACACTCTCGCCGTAGCCTCCACCGCTCCAGCAGCGAGCACAAAGAGGACAGACCTGCTCACGACGGCGACAGCAATGACAAGTGAGTGAATGCTGGTCCGTATGCTAGTCATTTGTGTAACAGAATCCACTGCTGATGACTAGATGGAATCATTTTCTTAGCTACAGTCAATCTGTATGAAATAGATAACCATACATTGGACTGAAGATCTTTGGATCAAGAATTGTTGTCATTGGCTCTGGTATTTAAACACAATTATCAACCTTAGCAAAGAAATGGAAAATTTCTGACCAGAAAATAAGATGTCCCAGGGTACCCTCAGCACTTTTACACATCACATATGTGGTAGGATCAAAATCGTTAAGCTTTGTTTATTTACTACTCATTTTTTACTACTTATTTATGTTACGTTGTCTGATTTACGTTACGTTACGTTGTCTCAGATTACTAGTGGTGTACCTCAGGGCTCAGTTTTGGGCCCTCTTCTGTATATTATTTATCTATTGCCTTTAGGGCAAATCTTCCATAAATTTGGTATAAATTTTCATTATGCTGATGGCACCCAGCTCAAAATCATTAAGCTTTGTTTATTACAGTTTTTACTAATTTACGTTACATTGTCTGATTTAATTGTTGGATACAGTTGCAAACAGTGTTATGTTAGTGTCAAATTACTATTATAATTTTTATTATTAAATGTGAATCCCTTTTTTATTTTTAAATTTTAATTTTTTTTAAGTCTTAGTCATTTTATTGTGTTTTTTGTCACGTTTAGTTTATATATACTGTATATGTATATATATATTTATGTTTTTAATTTTACTTTTACTTTCGCTTTTACTTTTTATTTTAATTTTTTGCAGCCCTGGTTGCAAAGGTCAAGACCTCAGAGGTGGAACAGAACAAAATACATAAATTTATACAAAAAAATCATATTTGAACCTCTAATTATATAAATGTAACCAAGTATATACAGGTGCATCTCAATAAATTAGAATGTCATGGAAAAGTTCATTTATTTCAGTAATTAAACGTTCTAATTTACTGAGATGCACCTGTATATGTACCTCAAGGTGAACCCTATTCATGAAAAATGGCAAAACAAATATTTTTTTACAGCATATTTTTCCAAACACATTAATTATGAATCAGCATCAAGCTGAGCTCAGATGATATATTCTTTGGATCTTATGGCTTAGCAGTGAGAAGTTACTGAAATTGAACTGATTGCATTGGAAATGTGTTGTCTGTGATAATAACAAAAATAGTGCTTCATAACAAGTAAGTCTGTCTGAATCAAACTTGTTGTGTATTTGCCAATCAGACATTCCCATATAAAATACATTAATGTTAAGAATTTCACAATAACAAAACATTCTCAACAGTCACACTTGCACTGCATTATTGGTAATTAGTGTGTCTGTGTAGTCTGCAGGAGTTGAAGAGTCCTCGTCTGGACCTACAGATGCATTCAGATGTGCCCTTCCAGATGCTGGACAGCAACAGCGGCCTGAGCTCAGAGATCAGCCACAACCCCTGGAGTCTGCGCTGCCACAAACAACAGCTCAGTCGCATGCGCTCTGACTCCAAAGACAGAAAACTCTACAGTATCCTGCTCTAAAACAGCACAGTTTATTCAGAAACTTTGGTTTGTAGTGTGTAGTTGATGGAGAAATTCAGTTTTACTTTCTGGAAAGCAGTCAACTATATTAAATTGCTTGAAACTGCTTGCTGAAATTGTAATTGCAGTAATACGCTACCTGACTGCATAGTCTTCTTTTTATATTAAATAATTTAGAGAGGGCCTAATTACTTTCGCCTGTGGCATAAAATGGGAGAGAGGTCCCCACTTCAATACAAAGTGACTTGAAAAACACAAGTTATTGTTGAAACAAGGACCAAATCCTAAAAGTTATTCAGTCGCTTGTTAACCTTAACTCTATGCATCAACACTAAAAATCATGCATGATGTAAATCTTTTTGCAATTAGCAGCCACTCTTCTGCTTTCATGGTTCCATGAGTCATATGCCATCAGGGCTTGCATTTTCTAGAAAATGCAGTTGAGCGTAAAAATAATGAAACATAGACTTGTGGGTTGTTTCTCAAAAGCATTGTAACATCTGATTAAATATGATGTATGTATGTATATATGTAAATATGTAATTCACCACAGCTGTAAAGTGCTGCAAAATCTAAAAACATATGCTTGAAAAGTGCTTAAATTTGACATCTAAAGAAAGTACAACAGTATAGCCAATAGTGGAAAGACTGCTATTATTACCTTTTTTTTTTTGTCTTGTAAAGACAAACGTTATCCCAAAAACTTGAGGCAGGCAAGAGTAAATTTTAATGCCGTGCACTAGGGGTTGCACCGACTAATCGACTAGTCGACTTCAATGCTCTGCCATGACGCTTTAAGCTTGACATCGACTAGTGCATTCATATTAATGTAATCTTTACTGTGCTACTTTATCTGTATCTGATTTAGAATGAGCAGAAATCTGTGAGAAATATAACGACCCAAAGACAAAAGAACTGATAAAAAAGCTGTTATAGGAGCAACAGCCATGTGGGCAGCGCTGTGTCATATGCCATAGCTGTGCACAAGGTGTTTGTCACAGCTCCAGACTTATTTGTTCATTAATGATGTCATCAGCGACTAGTCGACTTCGACTCGACTTTCATCACCTAAAAGTCGACTTCAAAAAATCAGAAGTCGTTCAACCCCTACCGTGCACAAATATTCCCGAGTAATTTGGCATCAAAGAAAGGAGGAAAGTCTTTCTTTCAGTAGTGTGATAATTTTTTCCACACGCTGAGCAACAGGAAGCAGATGTTCATGTTTTTAGGACTCTAATTGGAATTTCTCATTAATCATAAATTATTTAGTTTGCTTCTCAAAAGAGAGAACTGTTTGTTTCTTTGAGAGGCTTTGGCTAGAAATTATTGACAGGCAGATTGTGATAACATTGTCAAGCTCGTCAAAGTTAATGGTCTTATGGGAAACACACACTCTTCTTTTCGATGGCTTTGTCCAGTAATACGAGGGATCGTCCGGCCTATGAGATTATTAGGAATACCACAGTCAGGACTTTTCTTTGTCTGTAGTTTAACTCAGACTAATGTTTCACAGACTAATTACAAACGTTTTCGAAATTTGTTAAATATGGGATAATTAAATCTTCAGCTATCATTTAGCATCTCTTCACAAAAAATAAAGCTGTAAGTTTAATTGCTTCAAAAACAGCACTGTTACCACCGCACTGCTAAGAAATATAATGTAGCTTTTCCGTTTGAAAGCTGTTTTACTGATAAAAGTTGACTGGAACTACTGTGCCTTAAATGGTTCTAACACATCCATTCCAGGCAATCGGAATGGAGTATTCAGACAGACATTGATGTAAATCCATATAAAAAAGCCTTGTGCATGTATGTTTCCTCTGTTGTCTATGATTCTTGACCATAAACCTCCACCAGAATTCCTGCTGCTGGAGAACGTAGTCCATCATTTCGTCTACCCCTGCATCCTGGACTTGAAGATGGGCACCCGGCAGCACGGTGATGACGCGTCAGAGGAGAAAGCCGCCCGCCAGATGAAGAAGTGCGAGCAGAGCACGTCTGCCACATTAGGAGTGCGTGTGTGCGGCATGCAGGTGTGTATGGCTTTAACCCAAGACGCTTAGTGGAGCAACAGCAATGACTGATGTTTTTACACTGAGGAAGTGTGAACTGCCTTTGTTTGTTTTTTATTTTGTATTGTTCTCTGAGGTCCACTTATAATTTTATCAAGATTTTTAAATCAAAAAACATAAGTTAGAAGTAATAGGCTATTTTCTGCCCTCATCAGAACGCTCTGTTTGAATAGGCTTGGACAGAGTTGGGTATAATGCATTACTGTATTCTAATTACTTTTCCTGATAACGCAGTAATGTAATGCATTACATTTTAAATGCATGTCATTTGATTACAGTTACTAATGTCAATAAAATTATTTTACTTAAGTTAGAAATGCAGTGTTAAAAATATGAAGTAAAAATCATGTTTTGCGAGTATGCCCTTTAATAAATCACCGGAGATTGCGAGCTAAAATGCAGACGAGTCCTACAACATTTAGATGCAATGAAAGGTTGCCATTGATCATATTTCAAATGTTGCACTCGATTTCACATATTTTAGTCTGGCATTATAGATTGGGAAAAGTTCAACTAGTAAATGTGTACAAGTTTATGTCACAACACTAATATAAGTAAAAATAAATGACTCATCTGAATGATATCAGACTGCCTTCAGTATAAGCTGTTTTTAGACTAACGAGAAATTTTGAGTTCTGAAACCTGCGGGATGTTTTTATAGCACAATGACCTCAAAATGTCAAAAGATCAAGGGAATTTTGGTTTCTCAGTTCATGACCCCTTTAAAGGTTCTTCATTGGCATCCATAAATAACTTTTACCATCCATAGAATCTTTCCATTGTATTGTACAAAAGACTCTTTTTAGTGGAAAAAGGTTCTTCAGATTTAACATTTTCTTCACATTTAGGAAAAAAGGGTTATTATAAGAACTGTTCACTGAAAACTTCTGTTGAGAGCCCAAAATGGTACATTTATGGCATCAGTGCAGGAACCCCTTTTGGAAGCTGTATTTTTAAGAATGTAGTTAGTTAACCTCGGCCTCTTGTAGGTGGCTCAAGTTGGAAAAACTAAAATAGGACAGGAATCCCTTACATTGGCATGAAAACTAATTTCAGCGTAGTCATTTGTATGAAATTAAGTGCGTTTATGCTTGAAACAAGAAGAAGAATAAAATCTGCAAACTGAGTAAGAAAAATAGACTTGTTTTTGCTTTGAATTTTATTTATTTATTAACTTTTATTAAGTTTATTTTTCTTACCCCACTGGCAGATATTTGCTCACATAATAGTCAGCATTTATGATTTTTGTCATAGCACTAGGTGATGCAACATAATCAATGTTAAAAAATATGGTTGTGTTTGGAGAAAACAAGAGATTTGAAGCCAACAAGTAATATTTCACTTTTATCAGCACTAAGTGTAATAAAGCAGGTGTCCAGCCAGGGCCTGAGATTGTGTACACACACAGATGGATAAATGACAAATACTATAAGTGTCCATGATAAAGAAAGGGAAAAATTTAAGTCATGTGCCAGGTTTGGGGGGGTTTTATCTCTAGAAGCCATTTCTCAATACTTAGGCCACTTTTCAAAGCTCTTCACACACAGTGAGCTCAACAGCATTTATGTGGCTAAACTGTGGATCATTTATCATTGCTTTGGCATTCAGTGGCCACATCTTTTAAATGACTTTTTTTTTTTTCTCATTTAGACACAATCACTGCCAGAACTCTATATAGCTACAACCCAATTGGCACTTTATATTAACATATTGAAATATATACCAAATATAAAGCCTTTCAATTTCATTACCATCTTTACAAGACGGGAACTTTGGAATAATGTCATACTGTATTGTAAATATGGATGTAACTTATATTGCAGTGAATTCTAAACAGCAGAGAGCTGTCATTCTTGTTTTGTAAAGAAACGTTCTGTAATGCCACGTGTTGTTAGTGTTTCTTAGGTCTTTGTTTTACGAGTGACAGAGTGTGTTTGTTAGGTGACAACCTTTGCTAGTGAAGCATGTATGAAGTGTTTTGGTAGTTTTAGTGCATTTTGGATGTGAAATTAACTGCTGTGCCAAGCTGAAAAAGTGATCAAAGTACTGCTAAATGTGTCTCAGCAACGGTTAAAAAACTGTAATAACTGCAATGTAAATGTCATTTGGTGTAACCATCAAGTAAAAAGTAATCATAACTTTTTATTTTATTACTTTGCTTTTACACAGTTTAGTTTAGGGAGCAGTTCTCGCTATTAACTAGTCTCTTTTTAGCATGCATTTTTTTCTCACATGCTGTATGCAAGCCTGCAGGTGCAATGAAAACACATCGATTGAGAACGTGACTGATATCGATATATAGACCTGTATAGGAATGGCAGAAAATTTCTTCAGTCTTTTTCAAAACTGAGGTGTGAACAATAGGGACTAAAACGGGGATTTGATTTCTGTCCATAGATTGATCAAAGCGTATCTGGGTGAAGACACAGTTTGGAAGGTGGATTCTTTTTGCACTCTCTTCTTAATAACATTTTGTTGTTTTTTTATCAAAGGTTACATAAAAGAAGCACTCAAACTGAATATTTCTGAGTGTCAAATTCCTTTTTGTGATGTCAAACCTGTGATAAACTCTTATATTAATGACATGTGGCAGATGGAATGGGATAAATGTCATGAAAATAAGCTATATGAAACAAATCCTAGTGTAAGAATTTTTTTTTACTAATTTAAAATCTAGGTATGATCAAGTTGTTTTAACAAGGTGTCTTTTAGGTCATACAAGACTTACACATGGATATTTATTAAAAGGTGAAGAACCACCATCATGCCTTACTTGCCAAACTAAAATGACTGTGAAGCATATTTTATTGGATTGTACTGTTTTTAATGTGAATAGACAACAGTTTTATTCAGAGGTGTGTCTAACTGATTTATTTAAAAATGTATCACCTGAATGTATTTTAGAATTTTTGTCTAGTGTACATTTTAGTGAACCTTTTGTTAATTGTATACCTTGTATAATTTATTCAGAGATCGCCATGAAAATAACCTTGATGCTGGCATGGAGATAAAAAGTGAATAAATAAATAAATCAAAAGTTACATCGAGTAGCCTCAGTGACCAAAAGAAAGAGCCAAAGAAAGGCTTGAACACAGCATGATCAGGCCTTGACCGAATTTAACAGGCGATTTATTTCCTCTAAATTACAACCCACATTGACAGTCTTTCCTCACATGTGTATTTTCCCAATCATTCAAGCCCCCCGTGTCTCCTGTGTTTGCTCTGCAGGTCTACCAGATGGACACCGGTCACTATCTATGCAGGAACAAGTACTACGGCCGCAGTCTTTCTATCGAGGGATTTCGACACGCACTCTTTCAGTTCATGCACAACGGGACGCAGCTGCGCAAAGACCTTTTCGAGCCCATCCTGAGCAAACTATGCAGCCTGAAGGCTGTGCTGGAGCGCCAGGCCTCGTACCGCTTCTACTCCAGCTCGCTGCTCATCATATACGAGGGCAAGGACCCCGAGTCTGTGGATGCTGGCTGGCAGAGGGCCTCGGAGCCGGAGAGGCTGGGCTGTGTGGAGAGCCCGCCGGCCTCAGAGCCCCACACGCCTCCGCAGACGCTGAGCGTGGATGTGCGCATGATAGACTTCGCCCACAGCACCTTCAAAGGCTTCCGCGATGACCAAACCGTCCACGATGGGCCTGACCGCGGATACGTGTTTGGACTGGAGAGCCTCGTCGACATTTTGCAGGAAATCCGTGACGAGAACCAGTAGCTCCAGCCAGCAGCTTTTCATAGAGAAACAAAGATGTTTGTCAAGATTGCACATTGACACAAAACTGAAGGTGTGTTTGAACCGTGAGGGATTGGTGTATACAAGAAATGGAGGTGACCTCTACCCATAAAGGGTCTTGTCTCTGCTGTCAGGAAAGAAATGGCTCAACAGAAGACGGTTTCAGTTTGTTTGTCACATGGATTCATCGCCACCATGTGGCCCACTGAAGCACTGCAGGAATGAACCATGAACTCAGGCCGCGTCAGCTGTCAGGGTTTCTCTTAGAGTGTGGCATTGCTAAAGAGAGAGAAAGTGTGTGTGTGTGTGTGTGTGTGTGTGTGTGTGTGTGGGTGTGTGTGTGTGTGTGAGAGAATCTCAAGAAGAAAAGTCCAGGTCACATTTCACTCCAAAATCAAAAAGAAAAGAAACAACTTGTATTGCATAAACAAAGCCTGTTTTTAGGACCTTTAAGATTTTTGTGACATTATTTTCATGACAAATTTAGCCTGAAAGCATTTCTCCCCAAATTCTTCTTACTATAATGCAGAACATTTTATCCAGACACATTATTCCATTGGGGATTGTACTTTGCCATTTAAATGCTGTATCATTATTTGTTCACATCACACTGTACTAATGAGAATGACAGGGAAGATATGCTTTGTTATAAAAATAAAGTCACCATGCAAAAAAAAATCTTAATGGTTTTAAAAAATATTTTCATGCAATGTTGTTTTTCTTGTGATTTTTTATTTTTATTTTTTTGGGCAAGGGAGAGTGAAATATGTTCTCTGTATAAACACTCAGTATTTCTCCAGGAGTTTAAAAGGGAGTAAATTCAGCTCAGAGCAGTTGGTCAAAGCTTTACTGTAGGAGTCGGGGGCATTTAAAGGAGATTTTAAACCACTCGTCTTTGATGACAAGAGGATGAATCTGGCCTTATGGCAATAGTTGAATTCACAGCTTAGCTATGCGAGCCTATTTAACCGCTCAGATGATGCTTTTTTATTTTATTGTTATTATATTTTGGGCTTTTTGGTAGCTATCTTACTCTGTACATTTAAAGCAATCATTACATGTTAAGAGTTCTGACATTTTTGTTGGTCCCCCCTCTGTGATTTAGCAGTCGTAGGGGTTTTGGTGGGATAGTGTATTTGTAGTCTTGAATTTAGATTACCCTTGTGTTACAAAGTCTTTCCCTGTCAGTAACGTGGTTATCATTGCAGAGAAAAGCCTCACTGTAAAAAAAATAAAATAATAATTTTCTTAATCTGTCAAAATATTTAAACATCCTTAAAACAAAACAAATCCTGAAAAGCAAAATTGGGTAAGGTATTAACACTTGTTTACAGATTCGATTTTGATCTTAATTTAAGCAACAACAAAAAAAGAGAGAGAGAGAGAGAGAGAGTTTTTTTTATAAACAAGTCTTAATATTTTAGACAATTTCCCATCTCCAATTTTTTTGTTTTAGGCATATTTCGTTGAAAAACAACATAAACCGACTGATTAAGAAGCTTATTTTAGTTAGTGCTCACTAACATCTGCACTGTAAATTATTATGAACACATTACAAGAGCATGATTTTTATTTTTGTTTCATTTTTTTTCCCAGAGTTATTTCGAAGGGTTGTCTTTTAATTACACATACAGTCTGAGGAAAAAAAAAAAAGGTACAAAAGCTGACACTGGGACAGTACCCTTTCAAAAGTACACCTTTGTATGTTACTTACCCATAAAAGGTGCATTTTAGTACCTTAAATGTACAGATTTGTAACCTAAAGTGTACAAATTATTATCTAAATTGTGTATATTAGTGCCTTTTGAAAGGGTACCGCCCCAGTGACAGCGTTTGGACCTATTTTTCTGAGAGCAGTGACATTCTGCCCACCATCAGCAAATGTAGCAAGATTGGTTTCTAGGTTTGTTCTTGTGAGTCCCGTCAGCAGTCTCCTCATCATGACACCTTCAGCATGTTCTCTGTCTAGATTAAGCATTTTTTGCACTATGGTGTCATCCTTTTACTGAAAAATGGACACTTTCTCCATTCTCTGGGAAACAGACATCGTATCTGCCCGTAGTAGCACTTGAGCAAATATATTAACTTGACTTTGATCATGTGTATAAATAATAAATCGACATTATAAAACATGGCATCTATGCGGAGTTGTGCCGTAGGGATGTGTCTGTATTTAGACATGTGATTTTGGTCAATAGCCATAACTGGGATGCCCAGGAGTGTTTGTTTGACAACTGTTTAACAAAGTCATCCGATCATTTCTGTAACCGCTGAAGGGAAATGTTTGAAGGACAAATTTCACATGTGTGATGTGTTCCCTCACAATAAATGAGCAATGTACTCAAGTTACGTTTAAGAACAGTACGAATACCTAATTCTTAACATGTTGGCGTCGTTGATTAAAAAGAAAGAAAATTATCCTTTTATCTTTATTGTTGTTGCATGGATGGGTATTTTTTTAAAGAAGAAATAATATGACAACTTTGAACGTGAGCTATAAATTGTTTATTTAAGAAATGTTGTCTTGTCTCTTTAATATTTTGTTGCTTTGATTTGACCAAATAAACCAGAAAGAACAACCATAAACATTCAAACCACAAGTTTAAATTAGGGCTGTCAGTCGATTAAAATTTTTTATCTAATTTATTACATGATGTTTCGATTAATTAATCGCAAAATAAATTTGACTGTGAAAATACTCTCAAAAGATTATGTAAAGCTATTTTTGTGTTAAATGAGAAAGTATCAAGAAGACATTACTTCTGAAGAAGACGTAGCTTTAGAAAGAATTATTTTATTTGATTCATCATAAAATGTATTACACATAAACGTTTAAGCTGCAATGGCCTAACATAAACTATGGAAAATAAAAGAAGATAATTTGAGAAACATCTCAGTATTTTTTGTTCATACAATGAAAGTCATTAACCAAAACAGCTTAGTTACCGACAGTCTTCAAAATACCTTCTTTTATGTTCCACAAAAGAAAGGTTTGAAACGACTTGAGGGTAAATTATGACAGAATTTTAATTTTTGGGGTGAACGTTTTACCCCCCCAAAAAATGTTTTTATTATTATTATTATTATTATTTATGAAATTATACTCTAAATAAGAAACTAAATCTGCCAGCAGGTGGCGGTAAATGTCTTTATGAGTCGATTCGTTCAAACGGCTGATTCATTCAGGAATGAAGTAAACGACTCTTTACGAATGGGTCTTTGAATCATTGATTCACACGATTCGTTCAAAACGCGGATTCATTCAGAAACGAATCAACGCTGTGTTGCTTGAAGACGCACAACAATTCTGCTATGGCTTTAAAGATAATATGTTCTCTGCCAAATTAAGCAAAAACACATAATATTGTGTTTAAAATATAACACAATATCAACTTCTTATTTACTGAACTGTTAAACTAAAATCTAAAATCACATTTAAGCTCGTGATAGATCGGGACAAAATCAGCACTCGTGTGGTATTGCTCTCCCTGCTCGTGTGTGTGATATTGTACGATATGTATAAATATGAGACAAAACTCATACAGGGGCATTTTTGCTCCAATATCTTGAATTTTACGGCATAAATGCATTTATGGAGTTGTTGCCCTGCATAATATTTGTCAACAGTCAACTGTATGAAATGTAAGATGATGTACAATTCTGGGGGCGGGGCCAGCGAGTTAACTGCGTTAAAATATTTTAATTGCGTTATTTTTTCATAACTAATTAAGTTAACGCATTAAACTGACAGCCCTAGTTTAAATACAAAGTTCTGTCATGAAACTCTAGATAGGTCAAACTCAATCTGATATAATGACATCATTATTCACAGGTTGCAGCTGATTGGTTTATTTTCACATCAGCAGCCAATGAGCTTACTGCTCAACACTCAAATACTTGGCTATTGCTTGCTGTAGCAGCAGCAGCGCACTTCAGAAACCCTCCACCTTCCCCAGCTCCACCTGTATAGATCTGCTACGGGGTAATGTCATGTATGCTATGGGGGTTATTCATGTATGTTATATATGCAGCAGCAGGATTTCTTACATGCTCACAGCAGCATGTCTATGGATGTATTGGCAGTAGCAAGTCTCAGTACTTGCTCTGCTGCAGCACATAGCAGATCTATTCCGCCAAGACCCAACACATTAGTTTATTTTAGTGCTGTCAAACGATTAATCGCATCCAAAATAAAAGTTTTTGTTTACATCATATATGTATGTGTACTGTGTATATTTATTATGTATATATAAATACACAAACAGTATATATTTTGAAAATATTTACATGTATATATTTATATTCATATAATTTATATTATATATAAATATATTTAATATACAAACATACAATTTTTCTGAAATATATACATTCATGTGTATTTATATATAAAGAATTAATATACACAGTACACATATGTTATGTAAACAAAAATAATAGAAAGATTTTAGTTCCATCAACTTACCTGCCAAAACTTAAATAATTTCTCATTATGTACTAGAGAATTTACCTGAGCAACTGATTAATTTCTACAATGTAAAATAACCAAGACCTGGTATTAATGAAAACCACTCAAACTAATGCAATATGCATTTCCTGAGGGACAGCAAAAAACGAAACAAAAAAAAAAGGCAGCAAATGATAGCACCAGTCACAACAGAAACTGATTAATTGTTAATTGTTGACATGAGACCTAAAAGCTGCTCCAGTATGTTGGGAAAATGCCCCCTTAACAACAATGTGCATTTACTGTTCTTACGAAGTTACGAAACATGTTACCTGCTTCTGATGCAGAAAAGCTAGTTCATGCATTCATGACCTCTAGACTGGACTATTGTAATGCACTGCTAGGTGGTTGTCCTGCATCTTCAATAAACAAGCTACAGGTAGTCCAAAATGCTTTGTATCGTGAAAAGCGCTGTACAAATAAACTTGAACTGTTAAAGTGTAATATGTTTAGATAATAGTTCAGCATGTGCAGGATGATGATGATGCATCAGTCAATGTGTCATTTAGAGAAAATATACATTTACAAGGTAATTAGTTGTCATAGCACAGAAAGGCCATCGTACCCCACAACTGGAGCAGATTTACTGTATTACAGAACGAGAGGGATTCCAGAACCATCTTTCAAGAGCGGTTTGAACCAGCAGATAATACTGAGCACATCAGAGGCCGTGCTTGTGATTGAGCAGCGGCGTTATGTCACATCAGCTTCAGATGACCTACAGCCAACAGCAAGAGAGGTCATGAAATCAACAGCAAATACACACGGGCAGGTATCGAAGTACATTTCTCAGAGAATGAGAAAAACAACACCTGTCCCTCTTCCTTCAGTTTTGCA